GCCTGATTTTAACCCTTTGATGGAACTGTAACACATAGGACCCTTATTTCAACCTTTACCCTTTATGCTGCAGCTACCCTGTAGCCCTCCCTGCGAAGCTTTCGCTTCATCTGACGGGCGAGCTTTTCGGCCGACCCCTTCGACTGAATCTGTCCCTTCCCTTAGGTACATACCTTTGCCCAACCCTGCAAAGCTTTCGCCTTGTCTTACGGGCGGGCAACCTTTTTAAGGATCCTTTTATAAGGAAAGGAATGCCTTTACCTTCCCAGGGGTCTTGCTCAGAGCTCTTCAGTCTGGGGATCGGAGGTTCTCCTCGAGAATCCTTCGGTGCCAGCTGGAGGTCCTGCGATCCCACGGATCTGTCGAGGTTCAGAAGCAGTGTCCCACCTGGATCGCCAGAAATTGTCACCAAAACCTGGGAATAAACCACTTAACACCAATGTAGTATTAAGAAGCAGGCATTTGCTTTATTGCAGCGCTGGGTGCACGGGGGATAGTTCCACCTATCCTACACACCCTAAGGTGTGTTTGCTAAAACTTTTATTTCTCTATTATCTACATATGCATTAAACTCTAGGAATGATCATACATATTCATTCCATTTCCCGGAACTAATTATAATACACCCCACCCTTGTGCCCATGCACCCTCTGTCCCTTTGGTGGTCTCTGGTGGTCGTCTCACCATGTCCACTCGACCTTCTGGAACTCACTTCCATATATGGCCCCATTCAGGCTCAGAGGCCCTGTTTTGGTCCTACTGCCCAGTTCCAGACAGTTCCTTGAAGATACAGTGGTCCTTATCTTCGTCTTCAACCGGTCTTTGCTGTTTTTGTCCATATTCTCTCATTATGTCCCAGGAACGTCTGCTGTTTTGTCTGCATTTTCCAGCGACAACAGCAAAAATATGTCCTTGTGTGCATTTCCTTCTGGGGTTTCTCATAACACTGTCTCTCATTAGAACTACACTTTGAAGGACAGAGAGACTGTCTTTGAAAACATGCATCAGTGTGTGCCCACAACTCACACATAATTAGCTTATTCTGATTCAACTTTTACAAAATAACAGAAATTTAAGGCTAATAAACTGGAAAATTTTATGTTAACGTAAAGCAAAGTCTTGATCTTTAGACAACATAGCTGTAAATCTTAACTATATACTAATACTTGCTGTATATAAACTTTCCTGTGTTGAACAGAAAGTTAGACATCAGCACCCAGTAAACTACCATGGCTCCAACAAGTGACACCATAGAAAACAAGAAGCTTGACCATTGACCAAAGGATCCAAAATAATACTTGCAAACATCTGGAAATTCCCAGGGTGAGGTATCTATTAAAGCTGAAGAAAACATTTTTTAAAAAGATATATATATATAAAGTAACATTTCTAAATTAAAAATTACATTAAAGATTTAGATATCACAACTCTTCATAACAGGATTTTTTTTTTGTATGAGAATATTCTGACACAAACTCACAGTGCTTCCTCATGCTAAGAAAATGCACCAACTTTAAAGGCTTATCAGGAAGCATTGGTCTGTTCCATTATTGTTGGATGCTGCAAAATGGCTTTTGAACAACAAAAGTACATTTAAAGTAGTATTACTGTCAGCAAGGCAACTGTCCATAAATTGTATCCAACACCAAATGTACAGTACACAAATGCAGTCAGTTGTACGCATTTTAGAGACAGCAGTATTACAGCTTTAAGGCAGTTAAATAATGACTATCTTGTTCCTTTTATACAGAAACAGACTTGGACATTTTCATCTTTGCTATACACAAGCCTTAGGGTAGTACAGACCACAGAGGTGGATGCAGCTATAGTGCATGCTCTCCTACTATAGGATGTGCTAAGAAATGCACATAGAGAACTAGACAGTGCTTACGGAAAGGCAATGGGAACTCATAACTCTAAGTCCCTAAACACTTAGTAAATGAGCATCTTAAAAACAGAAGAATAATCCAACAAGAGAAGATATTTAATTTACAGAGTTTGGATCCAGACTCCAAAAGGAGCGACATTCAAAGGAACAGCTTTTATACTTATTAGAGGGTCAGGCAAGTAGAAAGACAAACAAATGAAGAATCTATTAGATCTCTAGATTTCACACTTGGTGGAAATGTTTACATTATGAAACTGCATTTCTTACATATCATTTTCCATGATTTCACAACTCTGTAACAGCAATAAAGTGTCAAAATGCCCATCAGTAAGATGAGAATGATTCCAGAAGTAAATTCAGCTTGTTAAGAGGAAAAAAATATGGTTTACATCATTCATCGATAACACTGCAGACAGGAGCAAGCCAGAAAACATTTTTATAAGCACATTTTTTCCTAGTTTTACCTGTTTTATTCCCCATGGGATACTTAATATAGATGTATCCATCATTGTATTCCATATCATAAATCTATTAAGAAAATAGGCAGTGAATGACTTAAAAGCTGCACTCCTATTTCATACCATCCTCTCACCTAAATTAAGCATGCAATATAGTATGTTCAGAATAATGCATTTTCTGGATACTATATGCGAAGGTGCTTAACATACATTGTCACTATACTGGAGTTTTTACCATGGCCATCTGTGCAACTGTCAATTTTAAAAGCAGTTCCTAATGGACTGTACACATAGATCTCATCAGGTGCTGGAAGTACATGATCAGGAGCAATCGAAAATGGATAAAAAAGAACAAAAAGAATTACTAGTAATGTCGGAATAACTACTGTCCCAATTACAGCAAGTCAACTGTTGCCAAACAAAATCTTCCCACACAAACTGTGTTTTTAAAGAAAATGTTGGACTGTATTACTTTTCAACCCATAAAAGAGTTAACAAGATTCTAAGCTAGGCAGCAGAAAATGCTATTTCCTTCTGCGAAGCATCTCTAACGTACTATACATGGACACTGGAGGTTCAGTCATCCACTCACAGATAACAGGAGTGAATCCGCATGCTTGGACAGTCTGGACAACTGCTGTGAAATTCAAGTTTTTGTATGCTTCATTTGGACAGTGAAGATATTGCACAAGTCAGTCAAGACTTCTGGTAACACAAAACCTCATTCAGACCCTCAGGTACTAGATACTTAAAAACAAGCTGCAGAGCGATTCTCCCCCTACATCTATTTGTGTTTCTTTTATACATCTAGGCTGTGCAAGACACAACGTGCCAAAAACCACTCAGTTAATCTGGCCTTGCCTTTCCTTACCAGAGCCCTGTGTGCAGGAGAGGCAAGCCTGCTGTAGTAATGAATCCTCTTATTCATTGCTGAAGCTTCATCAGTGACTCTGTATCATCATTCACGCTAACTATGTTCGTAGGCTCTACATGGAATGGTCTAAAGAAGATAAAATAATAATAATAAAAAAACATAAAAAACCTGAGAACACTAGAGCTAACATACAATTCAGGGAACACTTAAGCAACATTCAGGATGAATCTGTCATTCACTAACACAAAGCAAATGCAAAAATATCCCTGCCATGAGAGAAATTACTATCCACGAATGACTCACGTATTTACATCGTCCTTATTAAAAGAACTTCTTAGGCAGATTCTGCTGGGCAACTCAACATCAAAATTCAGACCTAATATTCAGTCTACTAGTTCTCAACCATGAGTCACACCAAAACTATGTGCTAATAAGCTAGGTCAAGCTTATTGGCATTTAGAACTGGTGTTGCCAGAACTAGTGATGAGGAACAGAGGTAAAAATGGGAGGCGTGAGAATAAAGAAGCAGAAAGAGCACAGAAGGACAAGAACGAGGGGTGGCAATGAGGACTCACTGCAGAAAGGTTGGGAACTGCTGGTACAGCCAAAATCACTGTATCAAACAGGAAGAGCACCAAGCCAAATCAGTCACTGCTTTCACTATACTTATGCCAGTGTGAACAAGAATAGAATTTGGTACAGATCACTGAACAACAGATGTCCACCTTTAGTTCCCATGATTTCCTAAGAATTTCACTTCAAATTTAATTTAATTAACCACAGAGAACATTGGTCAGAAAATCTCTCATTTGGAGATGTTGGTCTCCCTCTACTTGAAGGGCAGACTGCAGGAATCATAGAATCATAGAATCATAGAATGCTTAGGGTTGGAAGGGACCTCTAGAGGTCATCTAGTCCAACCCCCCTGCACACACAGGGTCACCTAGAGCATGTGGCACAGGACTGCATCCAAGCGGGTTTTGAAGATCTCCAGAGAAGGAGACTCCACAACCTCTCTGGGCAGCCTGGTCCAGTGCTCCGTCACCCTCACTGTTAAAAAAATTTTCCTTAAGTTCCTGTGGAACTTTGGGTGCTTCAGTTTGTGGCCATTACCTCTAGTTCTGTCAGTGGCCATCAGGGAAAAGAGACCAGCGCCATCCTCCACACTTCCTCCCTTGAGGTACTTATAGACACTGATCAGATCCCCTCTCAGCCTTCTCTTCTCCAGGCTGAACAGGCCCAGCTCTCTCAGCCTCTCCTCATAGGGCAGATGTTCAAGGCCCCTGATCATCCTTGTGGCCCTGCGCTGGACTCTCTCCAGCAGCTCCACATCCCTCTTGTACTGTGGGGCCCAGAACTGGACACAATACACACAAGGGAGGGTCGTAACCACTGCAGGAGACTGCAGCTCCACAGCCCGTTTTCTTTGCATACACACACACACACAGGAAGCAGAGGGAAAGCAGCCCTTGTCTGCACAAGGTCTCAACTTGCAGAACAACATAAATCGAGCTCCATGCAAGAGGCACTACCAGAGATATGTAATCCCAATTAAGACATTGGGATTAATATTTTTAAGCAAATAAATTATATTTGTGCATAGGCATACTATACTGAGACATTAATTCCAGCCCCCGAGAGGCTAATTACTCCCAAACCAGAAATGATACTGATGATCTGAAATGCCTTGATATTCTTATTTTTCCCCTTTCATCAGAGCTTTTAATTCCTAAAGCAACCCCAAGAGTATTCTGACCTTACTTGAGGCAGGTGTTTAAATCACTCGGGCACAAGAAGAATCCCCAAACTAGAACCAATAAAAACGTATTGCAACCAGGATTCAGTCCACTACCAGCAGAAATTAAGGCTGCAGTGAATCCAGGATGTTTTTCCTGCAGTAAGTGCAAAGCCTATTTGAACTGACTGCTTTTCAATATCCATTTCTGGCTCAGACTACAAAGGAAGTTGTCCAACCCCTCCTGCCACAGCTTTCAAAAACAGGACAATCTCTTCCTAGATCTAAGATACCATTTTCTCCTGGCAAAGGTCTCATTCTCCTCCCCAGTGAATCACTAAAAGGTGGCATCAAAGTGCAAATGCTAATCTGGATGTAAGCAAAGGAACAAAGCTCTGAAGTTCTTTGTGACATCTATTCATGAGAGGAAGCTGCATCCTCAAGCCTTTAGCATCAGGGCCTCACTTCTGTGTGCTTAACAGGCATGCAACTAGCAAACTGACAATAAAAATAACTTGCTTCTGCACACATTAGAGTAATTCATTCTTTCTGTCATCTCAGATTTCACTAATTCTTGCATCTTTCTTCATTACAAAAAAAAAAAGAGATTTTTCCAAGTCATTTCCCACACACTAAAGAGAAAATGAATACATTTTTAATCAAAAAACACTATTCTAAATTGATACTTTTCTTCGTATGCCAATGAAAAGAAGGGAAACGCTGATTTTATGTGGAGACCTCTGGAATGTTCCTATATAATTAGGAGAAGAGATAGCAACTAAATAAGTGCTAAAACTATTGTTTAAAATTTAATTCTACAGCACACCAGCTAATTCCACTCATAGGGAACAGACAGAAATACTCATGGACTGTCAGCTCCAAGCAACTTTACTTGTTTTATTTCAAAACTTTTGGGGCTGTTCCAATCATACTGGACAATGAAACTGGACTGCTGAAAAACATTTCACTAAAGGAGCTGTAAAATCAACATTCAAGTGATACAGGGAAACTGTAACATGAATGGGAATGGCTCCCATGAGTGGACTTTCTGCAGCCTTTTTTTTTTAAAAAAAAAAAAAACACTGTAATCTCTGGCATTATATTATATAATCACATTATATTTAGAATATTAGAAGTATTTGCTATTTATATATCAACTGCTTAGTGTAAAGTACTTCATGAGGACTGCCTCTCCCCATCTTGAGATCGCACTAACAGTACAAGCCCTAAATCCTCCAATGCTGGTGTGGGAAAGCTACACTTTGTGAAAAAACAGTGTGTATTTTTAAAGAAGTTTATATTTTGCTTCAAAGATAGGAAGTGTGTGGCAAGAACTTCCTTTGGAATGGTATTCAAGAACTGCTGACGCGATGTTAACACTTTTCTAGATTGTGAGTGGAAAATTATTTTTTAAAGCAATGGATGGACTTAATGAACAGAAAATGTGAATTTGACATCTTATTTTATGGGGAAAGCAGTGCCATTAATTCAAGTTCAGAGAAATATGATCTCCTGGAAACAAAAAAAAATGATGTGTAGCAAAAAATACAAATATCTATCTGCACCTGGAAATTTTTAGAGAGAAAAAAGTTTTCTTCAGCAGCATGAACATAGTCTGGACTGAACAAGCAAATTATGTTCCAATAGAAAACATAAAGGTATGATTCAGAGTCTTGTCTCTGAGTGAAGGAAAACAAACAAAAAAGAAACTAAAAATCAAGAAAGAACCAGCCCCAAGTGGATTCTATTTATGTGTTCATCTGTTACTTCCTGCCCGTTCATCTGTTGCTTCCTGCCCTTCCTGCCCGAGGAGCTCCCATTTAATGCTAATAGGGCTTGGACTGCTTCCCTCTTTGCTCCCTTCTGGGGTGACTGCTGAGAATGATAATGATCTAAAGGAGTATTTAGAGAGGCAGGGCAGGAATTTGTTTTTCCAGAGCACCACTGCACCTGCAGTTATTACTGAACAAGTGACTGTGTTTAAGTAGATCTTCTCCTTGGGTTTCTGATTGCTAGAGATGCTGCTGAAAGCACCAGCCTGTCTCAGAAGCTATGGAGGCAGACTGGGATGCAAGTGGCCCCTGATCACTTCCAAGAGAGGGTAGCACCCATCTAGGATCGAGGTCACTTCATGGTCCCCCAGTTGCCCTCAGCTCAGAGGCTGGCTGTAGGGCAGACTCATTCATCCATCTGTCTGAGCAGCCCTCAGAAATTACCTTGAGATGCAGTCCAAAACTGCAGCCTGACAGGTTTGGGCTCGATTTCCTGAAACTGTCTCTAGAGACCTCAAGTCTAACAGCCAGGCATTCAGTCCATGCAAGGATCAGTAGATTCACAGAAAACTCCTTTTCATGCTGACAATCACATGAGACACAAGGCAAGAGAAACATGAAGAGGGTTAGTGACAATGCAATTTGAGAAAAGGGAGAGTTTGTATGACTGGAGGGTGAGAATATTCATGCAGAACAGTGCAGGCAATGCCTGTGCATCAAGAGAGAATATAGAGTCCAATTCATTTGCTAAATCTATGCAAAGAAACACAATTACGATTTATATTTCAATGGCTAATGCGCATAACAATACTTTTTCACCAGGGCAAGCACACCACTAAAACACTGGTGTTTTCCACAACGCAGCGGGTACAGCCAAGATGCAAGAGGTTCTCTACTGCTCTCCCCGACAGGAATGCAGAACAGGGAAAGGGAGGCCGGGGCTTCACCGGGGAAAGGTAAGCTGGGGCTTCTGGCCAGCAGAAACTCAGGCTATAGCTTTTGCAAGCAAGTGTGTGGAAAAACCACAACATTGGGGCTGTTTTGGATTAAACCTCCAGCCAAAAAATGCCCCAAATATATATATGTGTGTACATGTATATATATTTTTTCCAGACACCCTAAGCCCTTTTTGTGACAAGAAATTGAGTAACTTCACAGCAGTTTCCTTCACCACCCTCTCTTGTTCCCCTGATAGGGGCAAGT